CTTTTCTTTTTTTTTTTTTGCTGGGGGAACAGAAGGGTGAGGAGGTGGGGTGGAGAACTAGTTAAGAACTAGTTTTCTCAGTTTGGATTAATCTCCTGTAAAGTGTAACTAACATTTATCTAGCCTGACACTACTTTGGATCCGACAGCCTTCTTGCCCTTACATTTTTCAAAGAATGGAGATTTGCCAGCTCGGTATTAGTAGAAAGAGAATTTTTCCAAATGGCTTCAGAAAGAATCAGACAATTAACATTGAAAGAGAGTTACTCATTTAGGGCTTCACAGTAATTGTTGGGAATGCTCTTGCAGGCACCCCAGATTCCAGATTTGGCTAAGGTTTCAGTTTAATGTGATCATTAATCAAAGATACCTTATTAATATATTAAAAGATCCTTCATCAAAGGAAAAGGACCTATATGTGCAAAAATATTTATAGCAGTTATTTTTGTGGGAGCAGATATTAGAAATTAAGGGATGTACAGTAATTGGGGAATGGCTGAACAAGTCTGTGGTATATGGGCGATACTTTCAGACAAACTTGGGAAAACCTATATGAACTAATCCAAAGTAAAGTGAACAACACCAGGAGATCACGGTACACATTAACAGCAATATCGTAACAATGCTCAACAGTGAAAGCTTTTGCTACTCTGGTCAATAAAATGAGTCACGATAACTCTGAAGGACTTATGAAAAATGTTAATCTATCTAGCTCCAGAGAGAGAACTGATGTACTCTAAGAACAAATTGAAGCATGCCTTTTCACTTTGTTTTTCCTTCTTTTTAAATTTTTTTTGCAACATGGTAAATGTTTTGTGTGATTTCATATGTATAGTTCACAGTGAATTGCTTATGTTCTCAGTAGTAGAGGACAGGTCCTTAGAATCTCTGTGATTCAGTTTCTGCAGTTGTAAAATGGGGTAAATAATAGCACTACCTCAGAAGGCGTCGTGAGGACCAAAGGATTCATCATATGTAAAGTGGTTGGCAAATCTTAAAGCACTATGTAAACTAGACATTGTTAGGTTAACTGTGTTGTATTTCTGGGACCATCTAGCGACTCTTACATTCATAGCTTCAGGAAGTCTGAACACAGAAGTGTAAATCATGCTATCTCATAATATCATTCCTGTACTGCTCCTCTCTTCTAAAGTCTCCGTTAGGTACAGCTCAAATGGCATATTGATTTCAAGCTCTCAACTGCAGAGCAATCCAAATACTTAACAGTACAATCTGTCTGCCCTACTCATGCCTTCTATTCCTGATCATTCTCTATTAACTATTCAATGCATCCTGCCAGTAAATGAAGCCATTCTTGTGAAGTTTCATGCACTATTCCCCTGAATTTATATCAACTTACAGCTGGATTTGGAGTCTAGGAAGGGAAAAGAATGTTGGTTTAGCTGACATTTTTTTCATAACAATAAATAGAAACTTTAAATATTGCTGTTCAGTCACTTCTGACTCTTCATGACCCCTTGTGGGGATTTTTGGCAAAGACAGCAGAGTGGATTGTCATTTCTTTGTGCAGCTCATTTTACAGATGATGAAACTGAGGCAAACAGGGCCCACAGCTAGTAAGTATCTAAATCTAGCTTTGAACTCAGATCTTCCTGATTCAAGGCCCAGCAGTCTATCATCTGTGCCACTTAGCTAATTATAATCCAAGTGTCAAGTATACAAATCTTAGCCAGTGCAGATCTGTTATAGAATTCTTTCAGTGTCTTTGAGGGATTAAATGATGCTCAATATATTCACCTCAGTTTGCATTATGGGGTAAGTCAGACCGACTAGAAGAAGTATGAGAAACCTGAGCTGCCATTCAGATTTGAGATTTTTCTTTCTTGGGAGCCTATTAATTTATTTGCAGACAATAAAGCAACCTTGCCAAGACAATTCCCACATGCATTGACAACAGTCCTTCCTTGCCTGTACAATTTCGGCCTGCCTATTCCACACTGTTGTCATAGCCTGAGAAAGAGCCAAGACGAGCATGAAGTGATCGAGGCTTTATCCTGTGTACCACAATTTAGTGGCCATTACATTTTGAGGCAGCTATGACACAGTGAATAGAGCACTGGGCCCAAAGTCAGGACGACCTCAGTTCAAATCTAGCCTCAGATGCTCACTGAGGGATCCTGGTCAAATCACTGAAACCTCTGTTTGCCTCAGTTTCCTCAGCCTCTTTAATTGGCACCCAAGTATATGCTGATGAAGCCTCTGTGAATCGCACCCATGATGAGGCTTCTTTGCCTGACTTGCACTCAGAGACTGGAGTCCCCAAAAGGCAGCTGCTTCCTTAGGTTCTCATGTAAGTAATATATGTCTGTGTAGGTCCCCACATGTCAATGGTTCAAGCATATAGGGTTGTCTCCATATGTGGAGTGGTTTCCTAAGTGGAACAAATACTGGGGACAGAGCTCCCCCATGTGGGGTTGAATGAAGGTCACCATATTTAAGAAATGTAAGAGGAAGCAGAAACAAGTAGTTGTTGCAGTGAAGAGAATGCCAGACCTACAGTCAGGAACACTCATAATCCTGAGTTCAAATGTGGCCTCAGACACTTATGAGATGTGTGACCCAGGATAAGTCACTTAACCCTGTTTGCCAAAGTTTCCACAATAGCAAAGTGAGCTGCAAAAGGAAATGGCAAACCACCGCAGTATGTTTGTCCAGAAAACCCTAAATGGGGTCACAAAGAGTTGGACAAAACTGAAAAATGACTGAACAACAATAACAAGGGGAAGGAAAGTAGGCGTTCTTTGCACCGATCACCTCCTGAAAGAGATCCCCAAAGGAAAGCTCCTAGAAATATTGTAGCCAAATTCCAGAGTGCCCAGGTCAAGGAGAAAATATTACAAGCAGCCAGAAGTCAAATATTGTGGAAACACAATTGGGATAACGCAAGATTTAGCAGCTTTTACATTGCGGGACTGGAGGGCTTGGAATATAATATTCAGGAGGGCAAAGGAGATAGGATGAAAACCCAGAATCACTCACCGAGCAAAACTGAGTATAATCCTTCAGGGGAAAAAATGGTCATTCAGTGAAATAGAGGAGCTTCAAGCATTCTTGATGGAAAGACCAGAGCTGAATAGAAAATTTGGCTTTCAAAAACAAGACTCAAGAGAAACACAAAGAGGTAAACAAGAAAGAGAAATCATAAAGGACTTATTAAGGTTGAACTCTGTATATTCTTGCATGGAAAGATGATATTTGTAACTCATGAGACCTTTATCAGTTGGAGGGAAAAAAATTATATGATTATATAGATAAATATATGGATTAGATAGATAGATGTTAGATAGATAGATAGATAGATAGATAGATAGATAGATAGATAGGTAGGTAGATGGAGGCCACAGGGTGAGTTGAAGGTGAAGGAGTGATATCTGGAGAATAAAAGTAAGGGGTGAGAGAGGATTTTACTTGGAGAAGGAGAAAGGGAGAGGTAGGATGGGGTAAAGTATCTGATGCTGAGTGAAGTGAGCAGAACTAGAGAATGTTGTACACAATGCGATGACTAATACTGATAAACTTAACCCTTCCCAGCAGTACAAGGATCTAACACATCTCCAAAGGCGTCATGATGGAAAATGCTATCCACATCCAAAGAAAGAACTATGGAGTTTAAATGCAGACCAAAGCATACTATTTGCCATTTTTTTCTTCTGTTGAGTTTTATTTCCTCTTTCTGGTGCATCTTCCTATTGGTTCTAATTCTTACTTACAACATCAGTAATGTGAAAATATGTTTAATAGGAATGTATATGTATAACCTATATCAGATTGTGTGCTGTCTTAGGGAGGGTGTCAGAGAGGGAGGGAAGAAAAATTTTAAACTCAAAAGCATATGGAAATGATTGTTAATAAATCAAAATAAATTAATTTAAAAAAAACCTGGGTAGAAGAAATGTGGCTGCCCTATCTCACCTGGTCGTGGTGCCTGGGCATGCATGGCCTCATCTATCTCTTTGTGGTTTGTTTTTTTTTTTTTACTGATCTGCAGCAAGTGAGTATTTTCAGATGAAACCATTGAAGTGATCTGGTAAGTTCCTTTGGGTAAACAGAACGAATAGAGACAATCCTAAAATCCTCAAAGCAATAATAAACAGTGTCAGTGGAAGCACCTGCCCTGGGAGCAGAGACACATGAAGGACAAAGTGACATATTGATTCCTCTAGGCTCATGCTCCCAACTCACACCAGCACTGGCAGGTTGGGTCCCCTAAGGGGTAAGCAAAGTGATTTTCCTAAAGTGCAAGTCCAACCATGTGAATTTGTACTCAGTAATACCAAATCCCAAATTTGGCATTGAAATCCCTTCATAATATTCTGTCTTCTTACTGTCCCCCACAATTCTGTCCAGTGACACTGGCTTCCTGGCTCTTCTAGAAACAAGACACTCGATCTCTCATCTTCAGATGTTTTCTCTGGCTGTCCCCCATGCCTGGAACGCTCTCTCTCCCGATCTCTGCCTAGTGATCTTTCAATCCGAGCTGAAATCCTACCTTTAACAGGAAGACTTGTCTAATACTTTTTTTTCTTTTAAAGGCAATAGGGGTTAGGTGACTTGCCCAGGGTCACACAGCCAATAAGTATCTGAGGCTGGATTTGAACTCAGGTCCTCCTAACCCCAGGTGCTCTTGCCACCAAGCTGCCCCTTCCAGTACCTCACAATACTAGTGCCTTCCCTCTTTTACATCCTATTTATCCTGTATAGAGCTTGTTTGTGCATATCTGTTTGCTTGTTGCCTCCCCAATTAGATTGTGATATCCATGAGGTCAGACACTGTCTTTTGTCCTTAGCACATTAGTAGGTCCTTAATTGTGTGTGTGTGTGTGTGTGTGTGTGTGTGTGTGTGTGTGTGTGTGGCTTGTCATTTGTTCTTGAAGAGGAACATGATATGAGGGAGATGATGGCATGACTTGCAATTGACTTTGATATGAATGACAGAGGGCTGTGGAAAGTCACCAGCCTCACTTTCTCCTCCAGATCCATCTGGGTCCAGTGGCCAGATATCAATCAGAACAACTGGAGACAGCCCAGGATGCCGTGATTGTACTTGGCACATGTAAGCTGAGGTCTTTCCAGCTTCTCACTTTGAGTGAGAAAAGGACCATTCAGTGAATAGTCCTCTTTAAGAGGTGAGTCAAGGGATAGCCCCTTTCATTAAAAAAAATCAAACTGAAAGGGGAATAAATGTTTATTGAATGACTGACTGAAAACCCAGAAGGACTGTATTTGTCCCAGCTTTCTGGCTCACAAGCCTCCATTGCACTAGTCCTTATTAAGCCAGCCAGAATTAATTAGCTTCTAGAAAAGGCAATCCTCAAAGACCATAGTAAGGAGAAGTGGTATAACACATACCCCCAAAACCTGGGTCATGTTCCACCTGAAAGAAAAGCAATATCCAGTGGAGAGAGAGCTCTTAGAGTACAATGACAGTGAAGTGTGTGTGAGGAGAACATGTAGCAAAGGGATAACTCATAACTCTGGCACTTTCTGTCCTTTTCTTCCTTTGTAGAATCCTCATAAAGTTCCCTTCAGGATAGCTTCCAGCTAGATTCCGAGGGCTGACTCCTTTCTAGATGGCATACTGGTACTCCTCTCCACTCTGAGAGGTCACACTCTTGAAGCAGCTGCCCTTCTCAGGTGATTGTCTTTCCACAACTATTGCAGGTACCTCCATTAATGTCAGCAATCTGTTGCTATGGGGTTCTTCTTCCTCTGCCTCTAGGAGGTGCTGATATTACAGTCATTCAGCTCCAACAGCCAAGGGGACTTGGGGATCTTCTGAGCTCACCAGGTTATACAAAAACTTCCATCTGGGAAAGCTCATTTGCCTAAGATCAGGAACAATCACAAGAAGACATGAAGCCATTGGTTAACAGTTACCATGCCTGAGTAGTGCAAAAAGAGGCAAGGCAGCCACTTTTCCTCCACCTAGCTCTTCAGGCAGCATTCCTGCTTCCAAGCCAAGAGGGAGAAAGAGACAGAGGGATAGAGAGATTTAGGTACAGAGACAGAAAAAGAGAGGGAGAGACAGAGAAAGAAATAGAGAGAGTTGGGTCATTCCTTTTAAAACCACGCTGAAGTCAGTTTGGAAACTCTGGTCATCACTTCTTAGGGCCAGTTAAAAGATTTTCTCTTCAATCTCTAGCGGATGTCCATTAATTAGGCACTGCCAGAAGAAACAGGCTCCTCATAATTGTCCACTTGGCCTACAACCAGGTAAGGAATATCTTTGCATGCTCTAAGAACTGGCTCCTTTGTGGCCACTATAGCGAGGCTGTATTGCTATTAAGGAAATAACCAACTTTTGAAATTTTTAGTGGTCTTTCTGTCCCTAGATATTTTATGCATCATTACCAAAAGCTCAGTTGTTGTTTTTTTTTGAAAGTGAAACTTCAACCAAAATTTTACCCTAAAATTCTCATCTGTTTTTGTTCTGTACTAGAGAGATTAAAATAACGATAAATTTTCAACTTGACAATGCATATGTCTTTTAGTAGGGATCAAAAATAATGTAACTATGCAGAAAGAAGATAATGACATATTGTAGAACAAATGTCTTGCTTTTAGTGCAATAAGAGTTTGCCCTGGAGATAGGAAGACCTAGGTTCAAATCCTACTCTTACACATACTAGCTGTACTACTCTGGGTTTGCCGTTCAACTTTGTCAGCATCCTACGTAAGACACACAATAATTTACAGTTTTAATATAAATATAAGCCAATACTATCAAATACAAAATTGCTGACATGTATCAGTGGCGTTCCCAAGGTGATGAAATCTCAGGTTTAGACTACCTCACATAAGTTACAAATGACAAGTCAAGAATAAGTTACAGCAAAAGCAGAGAGGAACAAGGTGAAAGAGTGAAATAAGAAAGAGAAGAAAAAAATCAAATGACAAACGTCAAAGAATACTTAAATGAAAATGCCAAAAATATTGTATTCATTCTCTAGCTATTTTCTATTGGCCGTATATACAAACAATAAACAAAAAAATTAGAAAAAACAAATTAGGTCTGGTTGGCGATAGTGACAAAAAAAAAGCACCAAATGTCTTTGTGCCATTTGTTCTCTTGGCCAGTATTACGATTACCAGTAGCCTTCGATCTGCTGTTAGATGTCAATGAAGAAATTTCATAAGTTTGTATGATGGGCTTGAGTTGATTAGTGATTTCTTTGCCTGGAATTTCAATGTTAAAGCCTCTCATCTTCTTTATAGACTCTCTAAAATCCACGAGCTATAAGGGTGGAAACAGTCACACACTAAAAGAAAAGAAAAAGTAGCGTCAGTGGCTCAGGATTTTTGACATTCACTTGTCTAAGACAACTCTATAAGAAAGCTACTTTTTTATGAACAATGGCAACATAGAGCATCAAACCAGGTTTCTACACAATTTCCTAGAAAAGTGTCCTTTTTTAGCATGAGCCTTCCATAAACTGATCTTGTATTTTCAAATATAATTTCTTAATATCTAATTCAAAATTTATCAGCTATCTGCCTGTTCTGCTCAATAGTAGAGTTTTTGTTAGAGGAAACAGTCTGTCCCAAAAGTCTTCGAGCAGTTTTAAGCTTTAATAATCAAAGTAATAATAACAAAAGCTTCAATATTTTAAAAAATAGTTTGTTTTCCCTTAATTACATATAAAGACAATTTTTAACATTTATTTGATTTTAATTTAGAATGCCAAATTATCTCCCTCCCCTCTTCCCTCACCTTCCCCCTCCTGGAGGCAGAAAGCATTTTGATATCGGCTATACATGTTCAATCATGCAAAACACATCACAATATAGGTCCTGTTTGAAAAGAAGACACTGAACCAAAGGAAAAAATACGAAAAAAAAGAAATGAAAACTAATATGTTTTAATCTGCATTCAGACTCCATCACTTCCTTCTCTGGAGGTGGATAACATTTTTCATCATGAGTCCTTTGGAATTGCATTGGATCATGGTATGGCTGAGAATCAGCTTCAGTATCTGAAAACTACACTCATGTTTGGACATATTTGGAGACACGATATTATTTCATGGAGACCTTTCCTACTAGAAAGGAACAATTTTCTAGGAAAATTGGTCAAATGAGATATAATGAATCCTGGACCAAAAAATCCGAAGGGATTTACACAGTAATTGAATAAGATTATAACTCCCTAAGCAACAAATAGGAGAAATAAACTTTTAATGAAAACAGTGATAATTTGAGACCAATCTTTTAGACATTCCTTTTTTAAAATGCCCCTTGTTAGAAAGTGGGGGAGGGGGGAAAATACCAGTTTTTCTCATTTTTCTGCTTCTTCAAGTGCTCTGTTTACTATATATAGATCATTAGTGACAGCTTCCAGGGTATGACAGGCCATTCTATGCCCTCTCTGGGTTCTTGCATGGTGTACTCTGATGTTCTTCTCAAATTGATCACTTTTGGAGCTGTCTTCTCTTTAACTCTTTCAACCATTTTTAAAGATTCCCGGATCTTCTCAATGGTTTTGTCCTGTGAGGGTGAGGAGAGAATGATTACGGTTCTGTCTCTCCTCTATATGATAGGCCAGTTCACTTATCTTCCCTCTAAGATTCCAGGCAAATATAAAAGGGGGGAGAGTATTTATCAACTGTGACTAAGAGCAAGGCACTTTACAAAGATCATCTCCTTTGATCCTTACAACAACCCTGGGAGGGAGTTTTGAACATTATCTCCATTTTACAGTTGAGGAAATGGAGGTGGATCGCAGGTTAATGCCTGGGATCACACAGCCAATAACTCTGAAAGGCTAGATTTGAACTCAAGTCTCCCTGACTCCAGGGCCAGGGCTCTATCCTCTGCTCCACCTAGTATCTCACAATCGAGGAGCATAGATATACAATCACACATGTCATCATTCTTAACAAACAACAACAACAACAAAAACTAGGTCTTCTCACACTGAAGCCAAGTATACAGGGCACTGTGAGTCAGACCAGAAATTCAAGAAAAAGTACAAAATGAGGTCCCAGCCTCAAGGAGCTCATAGTCTGTGCTACCCACACACAGAGAAACAAGAAGGAAAGTCTGGCTAGACTGTTGCCAATAAACTGCAAATTTCACTGGCTGATCCATGAGTGTAGAATAACCGCCACCATTCATATAGCATGTTTATGCCCCACTTTAAGCCTCACAACAAAAAATGTCAGATAAGTAGTACAGGTTTGGGGGCCCCATTTTACAGGTGAGGAAACTGAGGCTTGGAGCCTTTCCCATGGTCAAACACAGGTCTGCTGACTCCAAGTCTAGTCCTCTATGGATTGTGTCGACTATCTTTCAATTGAATAGGTATACCTGCTGAAATAGAGTTGATTTAGAGGATCTTACAACTGGGACACTCAGTGAAGGACATGGAGAAGGTCAGGAGGCAATCCAGAAGATTCATAGTTTGGAAAGTTTCCCTTAAGTGAAGAGCACAAAGGGGACCTGTTTGTTTAACTGAAATAGGGAAACCAGAAAGCAGTGACAAAGACCCTGGTTGAGTTTCTGAAAGTACTTCACTTATCTCAACTTACTTTGAGGTAGATGACTCTCCTCAGGTGAGTTTTTTATGATTTGATTTGACCATCTCATTTCACTGAGCTGTTTCTTAAGTTTCTCCACCTTTTCTTCCAAGCTTACCATCGTAGGGGGTTCTTCAAGCTGTGCTCAATACTCAACAGAGTCTATTGACTTTTCTCCTTCTCTAGTTGCACGAATTTCGCATGCAAATCTTCTGTCAGCAATGTCTTCATTTTGTTTTGTTCCCAATGAGTTTCTCCCTACATCAAAACAAAGGAGTTAGTCCTTTGGTGTGTTTTAAAGTACTTTCTGTTTCTGGGGTTACATGTACTAGAGCAATATTTGATTAGTCAGTCATTCTTTTGAGTCCAAGTTAAATGCATTAACAAATACAATCTGCATCCACTTCAGCAGCAAACTGAGTAGAGTAGTAGGCAAGGAATTAATGCCCTGAGTTTTGAGGCTGAGATTTGTCCCACCTGCCTAGGCCTCAGTTCATCATCTCTAAATCAGGAATCATAACCTTTGTACTCCTTACCTCACAGGGTTATTGTGCAGATTAGTTTGGGCAACAGAGATGAAGTGCTCCTTAAGAGAAAAGTCATATTTCCCTCTAAGTCATAAATTATTGTTGTTAACATTTTTGGTTTCATTTGCGAAAGGCACCTAAGGATTGGTATCTTTAGAGTGAAATCAACTTTTAGCTTAGTTGGGATAGGGTGAGATGTTATTTCCGCCTACTTTATTTGACAGCAGAAGTAATGCTTTTATTACTTCTTATTTGTGAAAAAAAGTGGTCACTATGACAGAGACAAAATCAAGGAATCAAACTAGGCCCAGACTCATCTGAGTCTGAGCTCCAGGCTCTGTATGGGATTAAATAGACCAGATTAAATGCAGGGAACATGAAAAATCACTTTCTCTTTAGCTCAGGTTTCTTCTCCTCCCATGTTGCCTCCAAGGAAATCACAGCATTATATTTGAATATAACAAACATCTAAGTCTCCACAGATGTGGGTAAAGGCACTCAAGAAATGTATAATTTGAGTAGGGTGACCTTTGTTCTACCTCTCAGAAAACACAGAAAGGACTCACAGTAATCCATAAACCAGATTTACCATTTCCTTCTTCTCTGTTGATTTCTACCTTTTCCCCAGGGTTATAATATCCTTGAAAAAACCCTGTGGTTTGGACTCCTTGTGGGAGAAATTAACTTGGAACTAGCAGAGAGGAAATATACTAATATTCTTCTCTCACCCTCAGAGATCCACACTGGCCTGCATCGTTTTGGGACTAGCTGAGGGCTTTACTCTCTTGGAAGGAGATTCTAGACAGACAGACTAAACATTGGCCAAGTAAACACATTGTCATATTAAGGCTCCAAGTTGTGGTCTTTTGTTCATTCATATTGTGGTGTAGATTTCACTGCTGCCATGTGCATGACCCTCTTCTGGTATCAAGACAACCCCAAAGCCAGGAAATCACCTTCTCAGCCTCTTTTGATAAAAATCTGAGTAGTTGGACCATGCTGCCCAGAGAATTCCTACTTCTTCCTTTTTGCTTTGGGGTCTGGGGCTTTCTTCTCAAGCCATATGGTGGAGAGACCAAGGAACTCATGTGCCTTTGCCTCAAGAGAGACATTAATGGATTCCTCAGAGAGTAATATCCTTCCTCACTCCCCACCCCTCCCTGCCCACCAAACGGGATTCAGGTTCTCTCTATTGGGCCCGGCCATACTTGGAAAGGAGTGAAAAAGGAAGAGGTTGAAAATGAATATTGAAGCCTTCCTTGAAAGGCCAGCACAATGAGATGCCACTGACCCTTGGAACCCTGGCTCCTGATTGGTGGGCACCCAATACTCTCAAGTGGATGCGAGGAGAATGCAAACCACTAGATGGCAGTAGTGTTGTCAGTGGGCATAGTCACACCTTCCATGAAAAGATCATCAGCCCCAAACCTTACCACTCTGTGCACTCATCAAGTTGAGTTAGAGACCTGACATTTGTATCGTGTTTTAAGGTTGGCTAAGAGCTGTACATGTAATACCTTAGGAGACAAAAAAAAAATAGTCCCAACCTTTATTCATGTACCCATACTAGAATGGACACCGAAATAGTTATTTTTGATGAAGACTTTGTTGATGCTGAGACCAATTGGTTTGGGGAGGGAAAGGGAGAGGAAGAGGAAAAGAATATGCATTGACACTCCTAAAGTGTAGCACAAGCCAGCTTTCATTCCCAATGGAATTAAAATTTTAGTAGCTCTTCAGATAAGAGTTCAAATTTAAAAAACTACTAATGTAGTAAAACTCAACTTTTTCAAACCAGACCATGTAATTTCCAAAACATTATTGCAGATTAATTTTCATTAATTTCCACCATGTTATTTAGATGTACACCTAGCTATTTAAAAAAAATAAATTCATAAAATTAATTGCTAGCGCATTCCCCATAGGGCAATCACTTTTTTGGTGTTGGAACGGAATTTTCTCAGGTATAATAATGCCTTCCATTTGCAGGACACTCAGAGGTTCACAAAGCATTTCAGATCCATTGACTGATTTGAGCCTCACTATAATCTGTTAGTTAGTTAGTCAGTTAGGTCTTATCATCCCCATTGCATAGATGAATAAATAAACTCTAAGAGCTGAAGCTGTTTATTCACCCAACAACCAACGGAGGGACATAGGAACCACATTTAGATCTCCCCCTAAGTCCTGCATTACACCATACTGCCTGTAATGAATGGCATGAACAACAACACTGTAAAGTAGATGACCTGGAACTATTTGTACCTTAGTGGAAAGTGGCTCTACCTTAAATCATTTGCATCCCCCTTAGATTTTGAGCTCATGGAGAACAGTGCCAGTGTAATGTGACTAGTGAGAGTCCAGCCTTTAAGGAGCATGTGAAATGTGCTTGGCCTCATGCAATTCCTGTCATATGAGCTGGAGTATCCTGCTTCTGAGTAGATAGTAATAGAAGCCCCTATTATGCACTTCAGAGCATGCCCAGAAACAGGCTCAACAAACACCCATGAAGGAAAATGCATCAGCCAAGGTGTACTGTTCATCCTCCTAGTGATGAGCTCTCATTGGCCAACCCATCAATTTAATAGTAGTACTCTCTGTTCAAAAATACTTTTCTCTTCTGGTTGTTAGTACATATCAAATTCCACCATTAAATAATCATTCTTATATCATCTTCTTTTAAAGTTGCATGACAAATGTCCTCACTCCAAAAGTCAAGTACATTTATAATGAAGAAAGGGGAGCATGGATTTTCTACTTACTTCTGCACAAAATCAGAAGTATGGGAATAAATATTTTCTCATCCCTCTAAAAACATCCTCCCCCCAAAAAAAACTCTTTAAGGATGCTAATAATGATGGGCTTTTTGTGTTTTTTTTGCACAATGGGTAAGATTGAAGCCATTAATATAATTTTGAAAATAATAATTTTTGTTGCCATGTACTTCCATGGACCTTCCTTTCTTCTTCTCCAAATCCCATCTCTCTTGAAAGAAGGCGTCAGTGGCACATTTGCCTTCTGAGAATTTTAAGGATTTCTTTTGTTCCACAATCTTTTCTTGAGTTTGGGATGACTCAAACACAGTCTCTTGATAAAGGTGGTGCAGCTGCTCCACCTGCAGAGTTAGCAATTGGATCTCTCACTGCAGGACTTCACTTTCTTGTGTAATGCAGCACATTATTTTACCATTTTAGGTAGTAGGGCCCTTTAAGTCATGGAAAGCAGAAATTAGTGCTTCACCTCACCCCAGACCTCTCTCCTCTTAAATGTAAACAATAGTGAAATGTACTCTTGCATAGTTCAGCACAGCCTGTACCTCCAATGCAAATGGATAAGAAAGCTTGCAATATAATTGCTTTAGATAATTATGTGTATACCAGCGACCAGGACACCTGGTCTGATTCGTGTGATCTCTGACCTGTAATAATGGGGTGCTTGGGTGCTTGTGCTTGTACGTGTCCCCAATTTCTCTCCAGTCTCAGAAACACTGTCTCTGACAACCACTCCCCAGCCCTCAGATCATGTCTCTGGAAGCCTTCCAATTCCTTAGTAAGTTCCTGTCTTGTGAGAAAGCTTTTCCTTGTTGCAGAGCATTCTGTCATCAAGACAGAGGGAGAGGAGTGCCTTGGCCAGCCCAAGGAGTTTTGTCCTTGGCCAGCCCAAGGACTGTTCCTCCTGCCAGACTCCAAAGATCCATACCTCTGTCATCTCCCTCCCTGTCTGGTATACTCCTGTACTTTCCCATCATAGCCCCCAAAGACAGCTGCACCTTTGGATTACCTCATCAGTGTTCCTGGCATTTCTTTCCCATGCTCTTTTCCATATAAACCCTAGCTCGACCCCTGATCAGGGCTGCTTGATTTGGGCAACATACCCCTTGCAGCCACGAGCTTCAATAAATCTCCACTTTAAATTCTCACTGGGTCTTTGTCTCCCATCTGTTCTGGCACAACACCTGCAGGGAAATTACAAAAGTGAGATTTATCCCTATATCTCCTATTTGCTCTTTCCTTTCAAAGCCAAACATGCAATTCCAATCGTTATGGTCAAAGTATGGATTTTGTTATGCTGATACGATTTTCCCTTAGGTCAATCTGTTGTGTAGATCATTGGTTGGAATGAATAGGAGAAAAGAGAGACTGATGGATGGAGACAAAACACTTCAGTTTAAACATAATAATGGAAACATGCATGGAAATTTTCAGGACACCAGAAAATCCTCCACAATGAAAAGAGCTTGAATACTTCCCAAAACCAAGATTTCTATGGAATGACTCTGCAAAAAACATTCAATCCAAAAAACAACAACATTTGTGTGAATTGGAAGTGGAGAAAGAGAGGAAGAGACAGTTTTTGCGAGGAAGATTTCAGGGTTATGAATTATCTGCATGAGTCTATTGGTTCAACTCTTCTGATGAAATTGAACAAGTGATTGAACTTTTTTTTAAGCATCTTATTGATACCTTTTTGTTTTCTATACAATAGATAACCATCCTCTACAGGAAAAAAAGTTTGACGACCATCACATGTTCACTAGATATGCTTCCAAGTGACTTTGGGACATCTCCCTCAGAATTGACATAAGAAGCATTATTGTGTTTTTAACGACTGGAAATGTTGTGATATAAGAAACGGTAAAATTGGCTTTATAGATTGTCTTACTTCTTCTCTTGCCTTAGTGTGGCAAAAGCTCAACAACAGAAATGGACTCAA